TCATAAACTGTGGTCATGAATAGTGGGTCGCGATTCTAAAAAATTTGGGAACCCCTGGGATACACTATTAATGGTGCCATTATTACCGGATGCGTTATTACTTGTAAATTTTTACTGGATATATTATTACTGGTGCATTTTTACTGGATACATTATTACTGGTGCATTTTTACTGGATACATTATTACTAGTGCCGTTTTTATGGGATATTATATTAGTGGTGCCATTATTATGTGTTTCTCGTAATTGGTCTGCAACATTCACTTTTTATTTCAGATTTAGTTTAAATATTTGTGATAATCTATCCCTTACCTGTAGAAATCATACACATTATGCTTTGACTGATTAATTAAAATTGAACCAAATGTTTCATAGAGGCTAACGTGTCGGTTTGAAGATCGAATGGTCTAAGATTCGAGACTTCAAGTCTTAAACATGATCCGGATTTTCATTGTGGGGTAGTTATAAAAGTGACAGTCCATCCGGTTATTCAGTGGAAGCTGGTGCTGATGCCACAGCGGTATGTCTGCGGAATTACAACGTTAGAAAGCGGGTTTCGATGCCTTGTGCTTAACTTCAAACAAACAAACAATTTAAGGGATAACTACACGTGAACCCTGGAGGCCTCTGATCCTGCGCATAAGTTAACGCTCAATTTTCTTTAAATTCTAATTTGCTAAAGTTATCATTTTGATAAACCACTATTTTCAAAATGAAAATATAATTTCTTAGTTTAACTCGTTTTCGTTCTTTTGTAGATAAACAATAAATATAATACAAACATCTCTATAAATACCAGTGAAAACAACGGGAAAATAACGCTGAAAATGCTCATTTTATATAGTTAACATCTATTTACACATTTATGAATCCGAATTCGCACAAATTGTTCTTTGCATAATTTTGCATTGCGAAGATTATCATTTTAGTGTTTTAACGTGTTTAGAATAACATCAGTAATAATGACACTAATAAGAAAGGCACTAGGTAATAATACAAAGGGGTAAAAATGGAATCGATAATATAGAAACTAATACGAATGCCATCATTAATAATACAAAGAGGGTTAAAATGGTTTTGGTAATAACATTTCTATTATGTAAAAAAACCATAAAACTACAGTTTTGCTGGTTTTTTTTTAAGAAACGACGCCATGTTTTCTTTGAGAAACTGCCAAACTATTTCTTCCTAAAATGATTTTATTTTGTTCCAAATAATAAAGTTCTTTAAATTAATGAATGTTTTATATAACTTCCCTTGCTCAGGAATTTTCACGTCTTTTTCACACTATTTCATTTTTCAAGTTAAGTTAAACTTATGGTCAATGGCACATGGGTAAAATTAGAGCATGTATAATCATCATATCTTTTGTCAAAAATGGGTCGGTGGTTAGGGCGCTTGACTCCTAATCTGAGGGTCGTGGGTTCGAATCCCCTTCCCACCAGTGTTATAATGTGACTATTAATGGGTGGTGACGATTAACTGCTATATTAGGAACGGCTATCACAGATAGCCCTCGTGTAGCTTTGATAACTTAAAATTACATGCTTATATATTCTATTAAATAACGTTTTTTTTTTTCAACGTTTAGTTATCAAAACAAGGGTTCGAAAATTACGAAACGAAGAATTAAGGTTTAAAAAAGCCAAGGTCTTCAAAATGAAGGAAGGCATAGTAACAAAAGCTGACCTAAAAAAGCCTGTATTCGAACATCCTAATATGTCAAAATGTTGTGGGGAGCTGATTGGAAAGCTGGACGCTAGAGGTCGTGTGCTCGTGATGGGAATTAAAAAGAAGAATAGTTTGTTCCCAACTCTTATCATCCCATGGGTCAATTCGAACAAAGTTATCCGTAAAGCTCGAAAGACCATGAAAAAGTTTGACTGCTCAAACCCTAAAGTTTTTTCCAGCACTATGATAACCACCAGCAAGATCCCGGTACAAGTTGGCATGAAAAAGAAAACCAGAAGAAGGAGACCAGGTCACCGGAGAGGAAGGAAGGAGGTACCCAATGTGAGACAGAGTGCTTCTGGTAGGTGACGTAATACACTAAGATAAAGTGTTCGTTTCTTAAAGGTGTAGCGGTGTTCATAAAACTGTCTCTTAAATGTTCGTAAAGATATTTCTCACTAATTTGTTTTAAAACTTTACTTACGTTGGTTACCAAAAGAAAGTGAACCATCTAAACTTTTAGATATCTACAAGTGTAATGATAAAATATGAATCTACAGAGTAACTTGTATAACAGAGACATTTAAGCCTTGTAAGGTAGAGCAAGGTAAAATATGGAATGTGTTAAACAAAGTATTTTCAATAAGTTAAGCTTAACAGTAACAGGCAATGGTCACTGTTCTGGACTTTATTCAGCAGGGGCCGGGCCTGGCTTAGGGATTAGTGTGTAAGGTTGTGGATTTTAAAGTCCAAGGCTCGCGTCGAGTTGACACTGGACACGACCCGTGTACTTTCAGCAGTGGGCGCGTTATAAGAGTGGCAGTCGATTCCCCTGTTCGATTCAAAGAGACAAAGCCCTTATGTTGGCAGGTTCAACTGACTGGCTTCCTTCCCGCTAGTCGCTAGTTCAAAATTAGGGACTGCTATAACTAAACCCTAGGAGTCTCTGACCCCACCATTTAGCCCACATGCGCAACCTTATCTAGTAATTAAGGAAAGCATAGGCTATAATGGAAGGCTAATTAGAAGCCACTCTGAAGGAAAAATTACACATTAATCATTGATTTAACCTTTGCCCATTTTCAGAATACTACAATATATCGAATGTCAACACATTTAGAAGTAATTAGATACCTTGTTTATTACGAAAGCAAACTTCAAACATTAGGTTAACGTGTTATTTCAATAACATCTGATTCACTTGGAACTTTAAAACAAGCGTTTCTTTATATTAATTTTGAGTGTCTTGGTTTTGATATGCGCATCGTTCACCGAGGTCACGTGATTAAACTTTGATGTCTTAATTCAGTGTCCTGTGCTGGATGTAATCAACCCAAGACGCTGGAAAACCTAGTGGACAAGTACTGTACAGCAGAATACGGTAAGTAAACAATCTTGTCATTAAGATTTTAATTTCTAGTTAAGCATGATTCAGAAGGATGAGATTTTTTTCACGTCTTGTCGTCTCGCGTCATTATTCTTTTTAGCTATAAACCGACACATCTAATATTGTCAGAGGGTAGTAACAGATTTTATCCACGGGGTAGTGTCAAATACTGTCATAGGATGTGACAGTTTGTTATCTGGTGACTAGATCCTGATACTGTCAGAGTATACTGATAGTTTGTTATCTGGTGACTAGATCCTGAAGCTGTCAGAGGATATTGACAGTTTGTTATCTGGTGACTAGATCCTGATACTGTCAGAGTATACTGATAGTTTCTTATCTGGTGACTAGATCCTGAAGCTGTCAGAGGATATTGACAGTTTGTTATCTGGTGACTAGTTCCTTATACTGTCAGAGGATATTGACAGTTTGTTATCTGGTGACTAGTTCCTCATACTGTCAGAGGATATTGACAGTTTGTTATCTGGTGACTAGTTCCTCATACTGTCAGAGGATACTGACAGTTTGTTATCTGGTGACTAGTACCTGATACTGTCAGGAGGTAAGGACAGTTTATTATCAAGGACTAATATTTGATACTGTCAGGAGGTAAGGATAGTTTATTATCAAGGACTAATATTTGATACTGTTGAAGGATAGTAAACGTTTATTATCGAGGAACTAGAACCTAATATTGTCAGAGGATAGCGACAGTTTGTTATCCGGAGATTAATATTTAATGCCATCTGCATGTTAGGTTACTATCACTCAATGCTCTTTATTTTAAAGCCCAGTCCTGACGGTTTTCAAAAATATTAATTTGTTTAAAAATAATTTTGAAATGTACATGTAAACACAATTATTTTCATCAGAATTAAAGTTTCTCAGTTCGAAAATACTGAATATTTATTTGTGAATATAACCTTGAATTAGATCAAATCCGTCCACAGCAACTATCAGCTGCCGTTCAGAAATAAGAGATTCCATCATCCTTGAATTCTATTAGATCAAAAATAAAACATTCTTTTTCTCGTGTAGTAGCAAGAATTGCCGAACTGGAAAAGTTTCAACAATATCTTAAAAAAAAAAAAAGATGGCCAGGAGCACGGGAGTATACAAAAATATCAAATCAGTACAATGGGAATCAAAGGAGAAGATAACAAAAAGCAAGATCGACTGCGTAGCGTGCCACGAATAATAAGTTTGAGGCCTTTGGTATCGCAAAGATTTGCATATGATTACGGGTAAAGCATCCGCCAGTTTTTTACTTAACAAACAACCGCTCCTTTAGAGTACCACTCTGTCCAGGCCTTTCAAGACTTGATCAACAGGTTTCACTGGTATTAGATTCTCCAAGAGTTTTTAGTTTTTCAGTAACACATCTTGTGTCGGCATTCTTAGAAATACTAGACCTTAAGATGGAGCTTTTTAGATAAAATTATGTCGTTCCTCATTCATGTAGCAACATGATTTCATAAGCGAAACTCGTGTTGTCAGCAGTCGAACTTGGAAGACACATGTAAAATATGATGTAATAAACTTCATTGATAAATTATTTGAAATCAATAAATGCTTTTAAAAAAAAGTGCTTTAAGATAACCAAACGTAACATCAGTGTAAATCAAGTTTCGTGTTAATGAGCAGTTTAACTGGTTTAAAACAATTACAAGTTATTACAGTACAAGTCTTTGAGTGACTTTTAATTTCACTTCTTGGAACTGAATTTGATTAATTTTGTCAGATGTAGTATACTTGTTTTCATTAAAATATTTCCTGGTAGTCTGTATAACGGAATAGAAATCATTTTGAGAAAATATATATTGGAGAATGCACATGTGCAGAGACATAACAACACTCACCACTTTCGTGTTAACTAAATCGTTACTTTGTTGTTAAACAAAAACACTCATCACTTTAGTATTAACTAAGTTGTTACATTGTTCTTAAACAAAAACACTCATCACTTTAGTATTAACTAAGTTGTTACTTTGTTGTTAAACAAAAACACTCATCACTTTAGTATTAACTAAGTTGTTACTTTGTTGTCAAACAAAAACACTAATCACTTTCGTATTAACTAAGTTGTTACTTTGTTGTCAAACAAAAACACTAATCACTTTCGTATTAACTAAGTTGTTACATTGTTATTAAACAAAAACACTAATCACTTTAGTATTAACTAAGTTGTTACTTTGTTGTCAAACAAAAACACTAATCACTTTGCTATTTAAGTAAAACACTCACCATTTTGTTATCAACTAAAACACTCATCTCTTTGTTATTAATTAAAACTTTCATCACTTTGTTATTAATTAAAACTTTTATCACTTTGTTATTAATTAAAACTTTCACTTTGTTATTAATTAAAACTTTTATCACTTTGTTATTAACTAAAATTCTCACCATTTTGTTATTAACTAAAATTCTCACCATTTTGTTATTAACTAAAATTCTCACCATTTTGTTATTAAGTGAAGTACTCATCACTTTGTTGTTAACTGAAGTGCTCACCACTTTGTTATTAATTAAAATACTCTTCACTTTTCTTATTAGCTAAAATACTCACTGCTTTATTATTAACTACAGCACTCATCACTTTTGTTATTAACTAAAGCACTTGTCTCTTTGATATTAACTAAAGCACTCATTTCTCTGTTATTAACTGAAGCACTCATCACTTTTAATGAGTATTTCACTTAATTACAAAGTGGTGAGAATTTTAGTTAATAACAAAGTGATGAGCATTTCAATTAATAACAAAATGATGAGAATCTTAGTTAATATCAAAGTGATGAGCACTTATGTTAATAACAAAGTGATGAAAGTTTAATTAATAGTAGAGATAAGTGTTTTGTTATTAGGTGAAGTAATCATCATTTTATTATTAACTAAAGTGCTCATCCCTTTGTTATTAACTAAATGGCTCATAACTTTTGTTATTAACTGAAACACTCATCATTTTGTTATTATCTAAAATCCTCATCATTTTGTTATTAAATAAAACACTCATCTCTCTGTTATTAACTAAAATTCTCATAACATTGTTATTAACTCAAATTATCATCACTTTATTATTAACTCAAAGTTTCATCACATTGTTATTAACTCAAATTATCATCACTTTATTATTAACTCAAAGTTTCATCACATTGTTATTAACTCAAATTATCATCACTTTATTATTAAATCAAAGTTTCATCACATTGTTATTAACTCAAATTATCATCACTTTATTATTAACTCAAAGTTTCATCACATTGTTATTAACTAAAACACTCATCATTTTATTATTAAATAAAATTCTCATCACTTTGTTATTAACTAAATCACTCAACATTTTTTGTTATTAACTAAAATTCTCATCACTTTGTTATTAACTAAAGTACTCATCACTTTTGGGATGAGTTTTCTTCGGTAAAGTGCGGGGCTAGAGAGAGAACAATTTACCAAACAAATATGTATCAATGACAAGAAGTAGTAGTTATAAATTCCTTAAGTAACGTATGCTATTTTATTAATTCAATGTTGTTTTCATTAATAATATTGGTTATACTAGTTAGTACATCAAATGTAATTACTTTTTTATTTCCATTTGTTGTTTATTATTATATAGATATTGTTTTGCATTGTTAGCTTAGGACTAACCTAAATCTTCTAAGCTACTGAGTCTCGTGAGATATTATTGGGATTACGACCGATGGTACCAAACTGAATGAAACTTTGCATTCTAATCCTAATAAGTACAGACGTAAGAAAGGCATATTTAATTATCTATACTGATGGCCATGTTGATTTTTAGTTCGCTCTAAGTACATAGCTTACTCTGGTCGAAAGTTATTATTACTCATTAACTAAACCACCCGTCACTGTGTTATTACTAAAACATCGCTAATTTCTTATTAAGTGAAAAACTTCATCAACTTCAATGTTTTTTGGTCAATCTCATTTTCAAACAAAATACTTATGATGAATTATCTGTAATTCCCCAGTACAAATAACAAGCATTTCTGCCACCATGTGTTTATACACATGTTCTTTTAGATCGCTTTTGTGATTGTAATTACTTCATTAAAATTGTTACTTTTGTAATATATTCCAGTTCATTACTGAGTTATGCTACATTTTCTTTTTAATTATACGAAATTATAAAGAGCCATTTTTTGGTTAGAAAAAAAAACAATAACTAATAACTTCTGATAAAAACAACAACAACAACAACAATATTCACCGCCAATAAAATATAACTTATAACTTGATGATGCCAATCGTATATAACAGATTGATTAGAAGCTCTTAGTGTCATGAATTAATATACAAGAAAACTTAAAATTTTTGATGATTAGTAAACATTATACCATCAGTTCTGTGCCCTTGTATCTCTAAAAGTTTGTGCAGTTTAGGAGAGTCAGATCAATTATAAATTCATATACGAACATAAAGTATATTTTTATAGATGCTTATTTGAGTGACGTCACATAGCCTCATAGGTCGCATTGTAGCATTACATCTGACAGACAAGCAATCATTATTTTTTTATTATTTGCGTGAACTAAAAGTTAAATAATAATTTGTTGTAAATCTTTTCATTACATAACAGTTGGGAAGTTCACATTGCAAATAAGCAGTACACAATTAAATGATTTGTGTTCATTTTAAGAACCGCGTTTTGCGATAAAGCCCTTCATCAGGCAGTGCGAAAAGCACGTATATAAACAAAATTTTAGTTCATAATTTCTGATTTTGAAAAGAGTCATATTATGTGTCTTTTTCTTATAAATGTCTGTAAATGATCTTTTCTTGTAATGTTTTTTTCTCTCTGAGTTATTTAAAATATGGCAGTTTTCTTTAGTTTATATATTTGTGTTTCTATAAACGTACCAACGTTCTACTAATAATACAACATTCCCATATAAAGTCTTAAAATATAGAAGCATGTTTATTTATTGTGGTTTTTAGTAATCAAGACAAGAATTCAACGAATAAAAAATGACAAGATGAAATGTAAGAGATCCCGCATAGTGAAACTCAAAGAAGGCTCTTCGGCTCGAGAAGAACTGGTAACTCCAACTTTCACACATCCTAACATGACCGAATGTTGTGGTAACATGCTGGAAACTATGGAAGACAGAAAGAAACGTGTGGTCATCATGGGAGACAAGAGCGAGACTGATTTAAAAACTAGCCTAGTTGTGCCCTGGGGAACTAACAAGAAATTGATCAAACGCATGATCAGAGTAGCCAAAAAGAAAGGTTGCTCTAGTCGTTAGAAGGATCACGTATGGGAGAGGGTGTAGTCGACAGGCAAGCAGAGACAACTCAAGAAAAATCACTCGCTTTCTAAGAAGCGTCGCAGGATAGAAAATAACCACCGATACCGATATAGGTGTAAAATTTTTTTTCTAATATTCAAATAATTAAAATGATATTTTAAGACGAACATTTGAAATACAAGATACCTTAGTCTATTATTAAACTTTGTCGTAAAATAAATATTGTGCTATATTGAGTTCGGATTTACAACAATTACATTGATATAAGTTCCAAATTACTTTCTGAACACAACAGAGAAGTGATAATAATCGTGTAATCTATAATAAGATTCAAATATAAAAACAAAGCTCTAACAATAGGTTTTTTTCACAGCTCATATTTATAAAGGTAAACATAGTTCCTTGTTAATTGTTTTATGAATCGACCTAAACAGTATAATATGGCAAGGTGCCACGTAAAATGTTCTTTTCTCAAGCAAATCTTTGAAGTTGAAAAGCGATTCTTTTTCTCTTTTTTTTTTTTGTTTCATTAGTCGCCATCACTATAATACATGCTTATGTTTTAGTGTAGTGATATAGATAACACATTGTTCTGTATTCGCTTTTTTTTTTGTAGTTGTTAAAATTATTCTACAGAACTTTGATGTAGTATTGTGTAATTGTTTATAATGTATGAATGTCACTACAAAAATGGCGAAAAGAAAATTCTCCAGATACTGGACTTTGTTTATAGTGACAAATTTGATCTACCACTATTGCGTCATCTATTGGTATTTATGAGTACTAAGCTGCTGTAGTTATCTACATTCTCAAAACATTATCACTTGAAAAATAATGATGTAAATACTTCGTGTCAGTCTGTTATTAGTTATTATTGCAATTAAAATAATAATTGGAAATTCAGAGATAAATTAAATGCTCGATAGGCCATTTTGACCCGTGGTATAAAGTCACAAGAATTAAGAAAAATTTTAAAGATTTCTCCTTCAAATTTTTGATGTTTTGGATGTTGTGAACATTTCAATCTAAAGATATAGTTTAATCGCACGGGGAAAAGGGGGAAACCTTCTACAGAAAATCTGTTTACGATGTTATGTAATTTTTATTTTTAATACAGATGAGACAAATATTCGATCGTATCGGATATTGGGATGAATCGAATAATCAGATAGCATCTCCATTTATAGATTACTTCACAATATTACTTGGACAGGATTCTTCTTGCATGTGAGTTTCACGTAACAGTTATAGTGTCAATTAGCTCATTAGTGCTTTCTACTAGCTTCTAAAATAACTGCTTTTTCCCCTTTATCAAAGTGTGGAAGCCATTGTAGTCGTAATATAGATAGTCGTTATGTAGTTTATATAAACAGGACGTCCACCCGTTGTATTACTAGTGTATTCAACAGGTAGTAGTAACAGCAAAGACAAACACAATCCAAACAACAGGTGCAATGGAAGATCGGGTGTAAAGCGCTATTCCACGTTGCCATACACAGCATTTCCTTAACGGAGCTACAATGGCCGCTTACTCATGTGCAACTACTGTACATCTTTATTAAATTAAAACAACGAGGAAGTAACTAGTTTAATATTATAACATAATGAAGCACATTTTCTGTATATGTTATTTGATCCGAAAATATCCGAATCCGATTGGATGTCAGATATTCAACCACAACTACTTGTCCCATCCCTGATATTTTGTGTTTAAGATGATAATATTCCTACAGCTTCATTACATCGTTTTTGACGGACAAATCGTTATGTTAGTTTATTTGTGTTTGCAGCATACTTAGTATTAGATTAATCTCCATACTTGGACAAAAAATATACTGATCGCGAAAATTCTAGTAAGCTTCGCACAGTATTGATTAAAAGTGCACTAACAAATTGGATCAGATGCTGTCGTGCCCTCTAGTGTTACATATGAGAACTAATAATTCATTGTTTAAATTACGTAAAAACTAAAACTAACTTAATCTCCTGCTATTGTCGTATAGTTTGAGATTCTTGTAGATAGTTGTCGTGTTTTTGTCTTTCTAGGACGTTTTGTAAACCAAGAAAACATTTCAGTAAATGTTAGAATATGAATAGCGAATGTTATTTCTGTACATCAAAGTTAGTCATTTCAACTAATACTTTATGGCCTGGTTGAAAAAAAAAGAGAAAGCGAATGGCTAATACTAATGAAACAGAGTGGTACGTCTGTTTTTATATAACTAAAGTAAACGCCAAAATGTTGAACATTGTAGATTTTTAAGTATATGAAATGTGGCACTGTATTGTATCGCTGTGTTCACGCTGGTAATAGTGTTTTCAGTGGAAAGTGACTGTATATCACTTTGTAAGTTTGTATACATGTTTGTTGTAGTAAAAATTAAAGAAAAATACGTAGTTCAGTACACTTTAAATTATTTTACAAGTTTTAATTTAGTTCGATGGTAAAATTATAATATTATGTTCAAACGTTCATTAGGTATTTAAACATAGCTATAACATGTTACAAAATCACATACACACACTTAACCATTTTTTTTCTTTTACTTTTATAAGTATAGAGTATATAAAGCATCTGTGTAACATAGCTTGATTCGTCTCGTGTGCAAACTATTTTTCCATGTATTAGTGAGTCTTAAGCCTACTTGAATATTTGATATTTGCTATACTGTAATTCGCAGCAATTTGTTTTTAAAAGCTTGTAGTTATTGATAACACTATTCATTAAAAAATCTGTTATTGTCCTGGTCTCATGAGTAAATGAAGTGTTATATTAATTTTGTGTAAAATATACAATTTATGGTTTTATGATTAATTGGAGTGTTACAATTAACTTTGTGTAAAATAGACATTAAAATGTGAAGAGGAAGTTCGTCAGTTAATTATTAAAAAAACCCTCTAAGAACATGTTTGCCGTGTGAATCTCAAGCAGAGAACATTTGGTATAAAAACAAACTTGGGAATACCTGTTCAGGCATTTTCCTTTCCAACTGACTTGTGTTTCTGAAATGGTTGACTGTTACTCAGGCAAGCGGCAGCTGTAGCAGGGGATAGAAATTGATGACGAGAAACCCTTGAGGAAGCGCTGTATCTTTTCAGGGGGATACAGCACATATACGATATGGCCCTCTAAATGTTCCTGGCGCTCGACTCTTAATTTGCGGGTCGCGGGTTTGAATCCCCGTCACACCAAACATGCCCGTCCTTTCAACCGTGGGGCGTTATAATGTGACAGTCAATCCCACTATTCGTTGGTAAAAGAGTAGCCCAAGAGTTGGCGGTGGGTGGTGATGACTAGCTACCTCCCCTCTAGTCTTACACTGCTAAATTAGGGACGGCTAGCTCAGATAGCCCTCGTGTAGCTTTACGCGAAATCCATAACAAACAAACAAATGTTTCTGGCATCTGAAGAGTGCCCTCTTTAACATTATGGCCGCACAAGAAGATGATTTACTAGGAAAACAAACTAGGCAACAGTAACAGTGAAGGTAAATTACTCCATTTCTTTAGGATGTTCCATGTCGTGGGGATCTCTGAGCCAAGAAAGTATGGGAACATCTGACCAATAGAATATTAGATACACGCAAGAATTAATAAGCGGTATTAAAGAAATTACTTCTTAATAACCAATGTCGAATTGAGGCGGGGCTATAGCCTTAGACCCGGGCTCATAAAAAGCCCGTTATGAGGTCTAGTGTTTTAACCTTAGTCTTAAGTCCCGATCATAATAGGCCCGGTAGAAAAATTTAGCCCCAGGCCCGTCTGCCCCTTAATCCGCCCCTGTTAATAACAAATATGTAAGCTGTTCGAAATGCAGAATACGGCTTAACTAATCTTGAGATTGCTTTGATACCGATTTGGGTCCATAACTAATTTACGAACAGATAGGTTGCAGTTCTAGAAATAAAATATAGAGGCCTAGCATTAGTGTTTATTTTAACATTGGAGACTACCTGAAAACAGATCTCGTATACAAAACTCAAGTTTTAAGTTTAGTCTTAGCTAAATCTATCAAGCCCTAATACAAAAATTCTGCCAATAATTAAGATATTTACAGATGATCCCTTAGAGCGAACTTAAAAGCGACGTGTACTTCCCGAGAACTGCTTTATTCATTAAAGCCATAAAGGTGCGTACGAAAAAACTGAAATCAAATGATCGTACCTGGAGCTGTTTCTTTAGTACCTCTTATTGTGACAGTAAAATTTCAATGTTATGTTATTACAGACAAAATAAACATAAATAAACAAAAA